TTATAATTTTTGGTAAGGAAAATATTGTTTGATTCAAAAAACACTACAATAATATGTAGTAAAAACATGATATAATAGTAAATGGCATTTGCATTTTTAATATAACTTTATTCGTTTATTAGATATTAACACTTAAAGTTTCAAATTGTTGAGTTAATATACATGTATAATACAGTAGGGATTAAAATTACAGATAGCTAATTGGTTTTTTATGACATCGATATTAACAGGTACAAAGCATTGTTGTTATCAATGGTAGTAAGGCACATTGTTGTGAGTTTATAAATATACTAATTGACAATACAGAATGTATATCTATTGATAGTCATAATTGATAATGAACAATCCGTGACTGTGACAGCAATGTTATAAAAAAACAATTAGCTATCTGTAATTTTAATCCTTACTGTATTATACATGTATATTAACTCAAAAATTTGAAACTTTAAATGTTTATATTTAATAAACGAATAAAGTTATATTAAAAATTCAAATGCCATTTACTATTAAATTAAAAACTCAAAAATGTTATTAAATTCAAAATATGTGTTCTCATTTAGAAAAACTCAAGTTAATGTTTTTTAACCTTGAAGGGATGAAAAATATCATGTTTTTACTACATATTATTGTAGTGTTTTTTGAATCAAACAATATTTTCCTTACCAAAAATTAAAAATTTTCAATAGTTACTGAGTAAACGAGTGTCTTATCCTTAATGAATCNAGATACTGAGTAAACGAGTGTCTTATCCTTAATGAATCACCCTGTATATTTATGATCGCAAGATTTTTGAAACATTTTCAAAAGTTAAGCTTAAAAAGTTCTTATCAGAATGTATGTTGAATGAAAAGAAATAATTTATTTTTAATAAAACTATATATATATATATATATATATATATATATATTAATATTAAGTAAAGTTAAATAAAAAAAACATTTTTGCGATATCTAAAATTATAATTTTTGGATATTATTCATTAACAGGAAAAGAGATAGTTTTTTCAAACATGGTGTTGTAACCGGGTTGGTACGGTAGACAAAATGAAAGATAATGCGTTTGATAATTAGTTTATTATATTTAAAAATATGTTTACACTTATAATTAACTTCTCGATTTTAATTAGTTGATAATTAATATAAAAGATTCAGTGAGCAAATTAACATAAAAGATTCAGTGAACAAGTTAACATAAAAGATTCAGTGAGCAAATTAACAAAAGATTCAGTGGAGAGTCGTCCAGGTACGACCCTATGAACTATATGACTCTTGAACGAGTAGCTGACTCCTACTGGCGCGTCGCCTCAGGTGGCGGCGGCCGTAGGCCCAATGCATTGAAAAAGGCTGAGCAAGCATCGAATGTTCTAGAAGGACTAGATGCTTGCCTGGTAAATACTTTATACAAGACAATAGAGGCTTCCGTTCCCATGATTATTATATATATACTATTAAATTACATAATTACAATTAAGCAGCAAAAAGCCAGTTCACAACAATGGTATATACATATAAAACTTTTTAAATAATGACGTATTGTTGAACCTAATCAATCCAAGTGGCAATAGACACACAACAATTATTTTTTAAATAATCGCATCATTTATGATGTAATAGTTTTACTATAATAAAATAATGTTCATGCAGTGAATCTTTTATAATTATTGGTGTCGATCTTTCAACAAAATATACTTTTTTAAAGCTCTTAATTTGTAATATTGTTATAACTAAACAATTGTTTTTTAATATTGTTTATAATGTGCAGCTTAGAGAAATAGCGCAACAAATTTTAGAGTGTGCAAAAACCGATCATACTTACTCATTAAAAATCAAAATAAGGGTGTATAATTATAAGTATATTTTAATAAAATAGAGAATTTTTACAATATTTACAAATAAAATCAGTCGCTTCTTTTATGCAAAGAAATCATATTATTTAACACTACACCGAAATTGTTGTATTAACTATCCAAAGTGTAGTATGATATATATACGTAATCCGTTACACTATAACCCAATATAATTACCAATATTAGATTACTTGAAATACTATTTTATGACAATGTTTTTTAAAATAAGTACAAATTTTAGATCATGCTTATGATAAATTTAATTTTGAAATCACAATTTAGAAATGAATACATTACTTTTACAACAAAAATTAGACATTAAATAAAAATTGTTAAATCATGACTTTTCTCATTAAATTATTAATTTTTTTTGACATTATTTTATTATGAAAGTATTCTCAGTTCATAAAGTCTAGAGGTAATTGAAACAGTAATTATTAAAGTGCATAATTTACNAAAATTGTTAAATCATGACTTTTCTCATTAAATTATTAATTTTTTTTGACATTATTTTATTATGAAAGTATTCTCAGTTCATAAAGTCTAGAGGTAATTGAAACAGTAATTATTAAAGTGCATAATTTACAGTCGCTAAGACTGGTATATAAAATAATCATTACAATAAATATAATAAAAAATAATAAAAAAAAATAATAGATAAATACTTTAATTTACATTTTTTGAATAAGGGTTGTCGAACAGCGCTGTCCAGCGGACTTTCTTGCAACTGTCAACCAATGATAAAGCAGTAGCGTAACGCTACAACGTCTAGTGAAAATTTAATGACGAAGAAATAATTTTAACGCTGCTTATAGAATTTACAAAATTTACAATTTTCGTATTATTTAAAATCCACAAACTACGTAATTTTCAATACTCAATTTTTAATTCTTGTATTTATTCTGCGTTCCATAGCAGATTAAGTTATTAGTACTCATAAAAAAATCCTAGGAGCAATGGCTAAGTTCGGAAAAGCTCCATTACTCTTTTCATAAGTTAATTACATCAAGTATTTGTTTCAACTCTCTATACATTATAAGCGCTATAACGACTTTTTAACCAAAACTGCGATGCCAAATGGGTATCTTTAAAATGGCTGAATCGCAAAGTTCTAGACCTGAACGATGTAATCTATACTAAAATTTAAATTGAATATCTTACTAATATTAATATCTTAATCACTAAGCTATTCTTCCATATTTTGTTCACTATGTAACATATGAGCTTGTGCAAAAATCAAGAATTTTTACGTATATTATGGAATATTATCAAAATAATTAAAAATGTATTGTATTCTATACAAATAAAATACACATGTGACCTGATTCATAATGTAATATAAAATAAATTTGTATACGCATTAAAATTTTATTACAGTATTAAAAATTTAATATAATAAGTTTATATAAATGGTAATTACGGATATCTTAAATATATTAATTATTAATTAATTAATATTAATATATAATGCTTGTAATTTTAATTATATCAATTTTCGCCAACTCTTGTACAATCTATTGTAATGCAAATACAAATAAGATTACGAAACTAAATGAAATTTTTGGTCATGCAAATTGGAAGGAGTTAACAAAATACTACTGTTATTATAGAAATAACAATGATATAATTAGTACTAACAATCTATTTAAACCCGACGATGGCGATACAGAGATAGTAACAAGTAAAAATTTAAAGAAAAAAATGGAAGATGGTTTAATAATATTGAGTTCAATCTACTACAACATTGTTAAAAAATTTGAATATCCTCAAAGCCAGATTAGTTTTTACCAAAAATTAAAAGATCAATCGAAGAAAACAAAAAATAATAATAGTAATGTTAATTATGATGATAAAATAATTAAATACTTGAACCTATTTAATAAGTCTGTTAATACTTTCAATCCATTAATAACTTGTATGATAAATGCACTACATTTTTTTAATCACTCAACTCCGGTTCTTGCAGCTTTAAAAAAATTAGCAAAGTGGCCATCAAAAATTAATAATATCGAAAACATTGATGATATTAAGATTTCTAAGAAACTTTTTAACTACAATATTTTTGACAAAAATTTTGAACATTTTAAAAAAAATTTCAAGAAATATATTTATACAAATAGTGATGAATACAGGTGTTTTGAACTATGGAACAAAAGTATAGAATTGGAAATTCCAAACGGTGTACAAAAATTTTGTAAAGATTTAGGCTTCGATGGTGATGTTTATAAATAATAACCATCACTTTACCCCAAAAAAGTATGTGTTTGTTATAATTTGCATTATATTGTTTAAATTACTTCTGGACTATATATTTCAGAAAGCTAATTTCTTTTAAAAGAATTAATTTAATAAATAGACAAATAAAACTTAATACATAAAAAAGTTAATTTTATTAAATAAGTTATATGGTAACACTTTCTATTCTAGAGTAAAGTTATTTGTTTATAACTAATGTAACAATTTTTATATTATAATTTTCAAAATTAAATATATAATAAGATATACTTAGACGAAAATTGTTAGTAAAAACGTATTCTATTAGTCATTATTAGTGTATTACACGTGTTTATTTATCAACAATGATTTAAAATAATTAATTGACAATTTTGAATATTTATTTTATATTTACGTTTTGTGTTAAACATTTTTCAAAAAAAATGTTATATTACATGATGATCACAATTGTTTGTTACAAACATTATTTAATTCTTATAGTCAAATTTATTTAGTTAAATAAAAGGAAAATGTATAATTTATAACAAGTAATTCCTTAAATATCCTCATCATCATTACCATGGACTCTATTCTTGTTTTTTTGAGGTCGGCTGTACCTTTATTTATTTGACAGAATTTCGTCAAATGTTGCAATTATAGTTGACTCAGACATAATGAGGTTGCATCATACAAATTCGCTCGGCCATTGGCATAGGAAACCAGTATGAGATCATGGGATCACTTTAAATATAAAGTAATTTTTTCATATAAAAAAATTGTATTGATCCATTCATTTTCCAATATGTTATAGCAATTTAGAGTCGAAAATATAAAATCACTATTGTTTTAAATTTGTACAAAATGAAAGGTGTTGCAGCTGCAACATAATAGTGTGTTGTACGCACGCGCGCCCAGTGTACTCGGACCGGTCTAACTTTTATCACCACACCTACTCACTACTACGCAAGTAGTAGTGGATATCGCTACTACCGACCGATCAGCTGTTCACACACTACACACCACACACGCACATAACCGCATTATAGTATAATTAAACATTGTATTGTGCAATAATCTACTGATTTGTGTTTGGTGAAACAAGTTTTTTTTGTTAGTTGAATATATACATATATAAATTTGATATAGACGTTTTTGGTTTTGTTTTAAAATCGTTACGGCAAATTTAAAGTTTAAAAAAACTCAAATAGTTTTTTATTCATATTTTTTCTTTTCACTAATTGCGAGGATCAATTTTTTAAGCTACTAATTAGCTACTAAAGATATTTTATTGTGATTCATTGCTACTAATTAGCTACCGTATTCTAGTCAGTTGTTAGATTTAAATTTGTGTTACCAAAAATTGTATTTAGTTAATTTCATTTGTTATTGTTGTGATACGTGTTTTAGTTTTAGGTAGCATCTCTGGCCAGCAGCTCTGCGAATTGTGAGTACCATTGAAATTTATGTATTACTGATTTTTGTTTTCTTTTTCTCAATTTAGCGTAGTTATTATTGAATTTTATTTTGAATTAAATTTTGTTTATTATAATTATTGAACTGATTTAGTGCTGTCATTGAAGTCGTAGAGTTTATTTTTTGTCATTATTCTGTTATATTTTTAGAGTTCATATTTTCATTATTATTTGTTGAGCCAGAAGGGCTAAATTTATCTAGTCAACTCATCTATTAAATTATTATTATTAATTGTTGTAAAAAGGTTTAAATTATTTATTTTTTAGTTTGATAGCATACACTTACATAATTACACACTAACACATCTGTCACTACATAGATCACTGGTTGCTGCGCAGGCGACCCCCCCCCCTCCAGTGATTCTATTTACATACACCACACTACGCAGCCTGATCGGTATTGGTGCAATTAGCCGGTTCGGGTACGCAATATAATATTTAGTGCCCCTGGCCCCAACAAAAGGAATATACCTAAAGTATTTACAAAAACAATTAGATTTTAATTATTTATTTTTTGAAAGTAATGATAGTTTTAAAAAATAAAGTGAACAAAATTTCGATATTTACCGATTTTAATAATCGTAATTTTATTGTGATACGATTTGAAATTTTTTGACGAATTGTTGAAATAAAATGGTCTGGTGAGAGTTGAAATAAGTGGTGACAGTTAAAAACATATCATAGTAAAATTAATAGATTCTTCGCTTCGCATCAAAGCTCAATATACATATCTAAAAATATTGGAATTTTATTTTGTATATTTTAATGAGAATTTGTTTTTATGTGCATTATGTTAGCTTATTAACGGAACTAAATTATGATACTCTTTTTTGGAAATTGTTTAATATTTAATAGCAAACAAAAATAAGGTCATTCAATCTTATGATATGTTATGATCTTCCTCAAACATATTTTCTGGATCTACATTTGTATAAAATAATATAGACTGTGAAAAATTGAAGATTGCAGTATACTAAGTTTAATTCATGAATCGTAAAAAAAGTTTATTGTTATAAATTTAATCTTTTATATGTGATCAGTAACATATTTTTTCACAATAGTCGTTCGCAAAGTATTGGTTTTTTTTTATAAAAAGAAAACATACGTCTTATATTATTAAGAAGCATTATAATACTAGCTATATATTTTTATACATCATAGAAAAAAAATTCGTTCTAAAAATTTATTAAAGATGCGCCTAATGTTCTCTTGTTTTTCGTATTTCAAGTAACCATAATTTTACAGAGTATTATTCAATAAATACATAACATGACAATGAATAAATAAATTCAATCTTACAGTAATATGATAACTGTCATGATATTATAAATTTTAACAGGAATTGCTTTTGGTTATAAGTGATCATTTCCATCATAAGTTATATTTTATAATAGTGATTAAATTTTATCTTCGTTTATGAATAAGTTTACCATTCTTACCTACGTTTTTCTAATAACGTATGTTGATACAATTAACCTATAGTTTTTATCGGTACATAAAATAATATTGTCTCTCCAGAATTTCATAGTAGCGTATCTCGTGTAGAATTTAAATTAATTATTTTTTTTAATGACAACAAGTATACATTAAAATATGGGGTTGCAATTAGAAACTGGTATCAAATTCAAGTATATGGATAGGAGATTAAATTTTTAATTTTTCCTTGTGTGACAACAAAGATTCAGATAGCCTTTTTTAATATTTACAAAAAACAAATAAAAAATGTCGTATATTTTAAGCTTTTTGTAGCGAAGTTAAAAAGATATTTATTTTGCAATGACGCGTTTATTTTTATGTTTGTCGTCATTTTTTCTCAGCTCTCACTGAACCGATTTCTTTCGACGATACGTCAAAAGATAACACATCGTATCTAATAGAAGACATTAGTATCAAAAATTGGAAAAATTACTCTTAAATACCTAGGTATTTCACTTTTATTTGTTGTAAATTTTTTGAAAATCTGATCTATTGCATGACCACAGAAGGTTGATCAAAATGGGGACTCTTGAATAAAAACTTAACTTATTCAATTTAAATTTAAAAAATGTTGAAATCTATTAATGTAAATTATTACAATCATTTTTATATTTGATAATGGTCGCACAGTGGGGTCGTGGCACAGTTGGTACAAGCATAGATGATATCTAGCAGTGATTAGAATCGCCATTATAAGAAACGCTTCGAAGCAAACTTTTAGATAGTATTTAATTTTAGGAAATTGATGGATTATTCCAAAAGCAAGGAGGATAGTAACATTAACTAGACACTAGTTTGATCATTTGACGTGTTGTTTAAAAAAAATTGCTCAAGTGAAAATATAGAGAAATGAATGACAGACACAAAAAAAAAACCTCATAGTAAAATATTTTAATATGATTAAGAAATTCCTTGTCATAGAGGGAGAACTACATTGATGGTTGTAATATTATATTATCACTTTTAATATTAGCATATAATATTATGTTATAGTTTTTACATATATTTCATATATTACTATGAGTATACAAAATTACTAAAGCAGGGTTACTTTAATATACAAAATAAGCAACTAATTATGGGATAAAATCTACTATTGAACAGATTTTTAAGTAACCTTAAGTATAAGTAGGACCCTCATAATTAATCAATTAGAATAGAAAGCCTCAGCTTCCAAAATCACGCTAGGAATCGCTATCTCATTCTGACGATAAAAAGCCATTTTTCCCTGTCAAAACCAATTCTTTTGATGATTTTAAAATACACAAAATCTACGACGATCTATTCAAGATTTCACTGTTTGGGACTTTCTAATTTTTTTGGACTTATAATATATTAAAAAAAAATGAAATGTCAATTAGAAATTTAAAAATTAATTTTGCTTTGGCGAATCTTTTAATTTAAGCTAATTTGTTTATTAAATAATATAGTATCTCAAAAAAAAAAGAAATATGTAAACAGGTAATTTTTTTTTTCTATGATTAAAATGTTATACAAAATTAGCTTTTTGTCGGTCTTGTGTGAGCATGAGAATAATTGAGTTACTATATGATCTCTAGCATCTTAGCTCTACCTACACCCTCGCCCACTCAGTACGGCAAATCAATGGCCTAAGCGTTAATTACCCACCGTGTACAGTCCACAATTGTTGTTCAATGACTATATGTTGGGTGTCTTTCGTTCACACGTCAAGCGCCTCCGCTTGTGTATGCTATTTTTCGGCCTTAGTGCGCTATATTTTTATTGTTTTTGCACATCCTGTTATGTTCTGAACTCCCTCGGGCTATCGTACCTGCGCACTCTATCAATGGTCGGCCCTGTCCACCACTGAATAAGTATTTACTTATTAGGCCTATTTCTAGTATGTAAGTTACCTATCTAATCCATAAGACTAATTTTTGAAAAACATTTAAATAAATTTTATGTCATATGTGATCGGATTCATAAATTATAATAAAATAATTTTGTTTATACATTTAAACTTTATTAGAGAAGGAACTTTAGTATAATAAATTTATATATATGCCAATAATGAATATTTTGATAAGATTTTTGATTTTAATTACTTCATTTAACGTCTCTTTATGTATCACAGGCGAAGAAAAAGTTAAGAAGCTAATTAAAATATTTACTCATAAAAATTAGATTGAATTAACAAAAAACTTTGCAAGTTTATGATTATGAAAAAACTAACAATGCTTATGAGAACCTTGGCGAGATTAAAATTAATGATCATATTCGACTCAATGAAAATACAGTAACAATTGGTAACTTAACTGAAAAAATGAAGGTTGGTTCAATAATATTTAATTGAATCCACTACAACATGATTGAAAAATTTTATAATCATTAACAGTATATAGGTTTTTTTTTTTTTGGATTAAAAGATATGAATCAGAATACATAACTAGAACATTATATTATGTATTATATAAGAATATTAGAACATTTAAGAATATGAAAATTAATAATATTATATATAAGCATATAACTATTAATTTAAAATAAACAAAACCTCATATAAAAAAGTAATTTCATTAAATAACTTATAGTTTAACACTTTCTATTTTATAATGTGTAATTATTTCTGTATAACTAAACATTAATGAAGTTATTACGCCCATTAATAATGCAAATTAAAAAAATATATATTTACCTTTAAGTCTTTGCCCCAATATTTCAGAACGCGATAATCCAGACCATATAGAAACATTTTGTGAAAATTTTGGCTTCAATGAAGAGATTTACACCTGTAAATGAATAATATCCAAAAATTATAATTTTAGATATTGAGCAAATCTGTTTTTTATTTAACTTTTTACTTAAAATTAATATACATAATTTTATTTAAAATGAATAAATGATAAAAAAACACTTATTGTGAGCACATACTCATGTCCTTTTCATTCAACATGCATTTTGACAAAAATTTTTCAAGCTTTACTTTGAAAATGTTTCAAAAATCTGTTGATCTTAAATATATTCATATAATGTAATTTACTATAAATGGTACTCAAATTGTTGTTGTTTTGGTAATTAATTTCAATTAATCATTTAGGAAGCTAGTGAAAAACATGTTTTAACTAGTATTAAAACAACCGGTCGGATGTGAAGAGGAAGCGTCGCCATCACTACCCAGTTGTAAAACCGGAGTGCAATGTGACACGAGTCCGATCCATAGGGACAGCTGATCTACTTGTAGGTTCTCCAGCTCGGTGAAATCCGGCTTAATGATTTTATCTTGGCTAAATGGCCTAGAATGGCCAATCACCTTTTTACGCTCTACATTATCGTGGTGTCCTACGGCGATACGCGATGGACGATTGGGGTAATTTTGGACTCTTGATCGACTGGACCGTTGTCGTCCATTGATCTACCATTCTGTAAAAAAATGATATTTTTTTGTTTATTACATTACCCACTAATCCATCAGTCCTAAGATTAATTTTTACAAAATATTTTTGTATTGATATTATTGTTTCTCAGCACATTTTATTTTCATTTTTATGCAGGCGTACCTAATTAAATACAAGAATAACTTAACTTTATTATATAATCTCTCTCTATTAACCAATTTACATGATTGCCTGTGTTTGCTTCAGATAATTAAAACTCATTTCAGGAGATACGGACATTTTTGAACAGACGTCAGGTGCTTCCGATTTTTGGTTTGACTAAAATCCTCAAATTTTAAACTAATCCCTAACAGCACCACACAGATAAATTTATGATTTGATTTTTAAATAATACGAAAAAAAGAAAACAAGGTTAATTGAGTAACTCGAGTAGTCAACAGAGCACATATTCAGTTTTCCAATTGGTGTCGAGCCGTTTATTTAATAGAAATGACACCAGAGACACAATATTCACTAACTTACATACATAGTGTTAGTAAATGCTATGTCACGAGTAGTAGGGTGATTTTTTATGGGGTTTTTTACATCAAAATAATTATTTCTAATTATCCTATTGTAATAAAGTTTAAAATATTCATTTCAATCTTGTGATTGTTTTATTTTTCCAATCTAAAAAGAAAAAAATAAAAACATTATATGAGTTTTAATGATAAAAATTATAATCGGTTTGAATAAATAATAAAAGATGAAATAAACTCGTGAAATTAAAAAAGTATCACATTATCTGTGTGTTTTTTCCAGTTTTTCTAGTTATATAACCGTTTAAACTAAAAATAAACTGCATCACAAAACTCCCAGTGAAATTTCAAAACAAATTGATGGGTAACACTAAAGTAAATTTTTTTTCTAACTCTGAACCCAAAGTTTAGAAGAGGGCACGAAAGTTACAAAAAATCAAGTGACCACTCAATTTGTATGTGAATTTTGTGGGAAATACCGTGGTGATGTTTATTATGGATAAAAATAAAATTTATAGCAGGGTAACTGGAAAACCTCAATTTTGGAGATAGGAAATTTTAGTTTTTGATTTCGCTATTTTTAGGTCCTACTGAATATCACCCTACTACTCGTGACATAGCATTTACTAACACCCTATATAAAAGAAAAGAAGAACAACAGAAACAATCGTCGTAACTCACAAAAGACGGTCAGCTTAAGTTACCGAGTCGTGTCAGCTCTTTAAACCGAGAGAAACCGATTCGCACACTGTGAATACTATATATATACTTTATGTATAAATATCTATACGACAGCCTGACGCAATGGGTCTAGATGAACGCCAGAACGGAACAGCACGCATAATTAGTAATACACTGTGAGCGCTGGCCTTGACAACCCCCCACCCCTAAAGGGCACGATGTCCACCGATTGTCATATTCTTAGGTAGACAGCAGATATCGATTGTGTGGCAGCCTAGAGCGGTGCCGTGTCATAACAAAAAAGCAATAATATTAATCCAATAACTTTTTATTGTTTCAAGAAAATAATTATAATTTCTATACACATGTAGTATTCATAATAGTCAGTGTATTGGTTTTTAATACTGCGTCGTCTGATTCTAATATATTTATAATTATTAATTCAGGCCCCTAACAGATTGAATGTAGTTTTAATTATAAAAAAAACCTTTCTATTTGTTTTTCGCTACATGTTAAATAAAGTGTTAAGACTCGATTGGTTTATGATTTAAAGTATATTGGTATAAGTGTAAAAACATTCAAATACTACTTAAATAGTTTACAAAAGAAAACCTGTATTTAATTACTCCAAATATCCAGGTGTACCTATTATCATATTTTCCCTTTTGAATATTCATGTAATATTATTAATTTAATAAATATTTTCGTTTCGAAAATGTAAATATATATCTATATACAATCAGATAGCAATTTAAAAAAAAATGATATCTGGTACAAAATATATAATAGCCACTATACTATATTTTAATACTATGTCGTCTAATTCTAATATATTTTTAATTATTGATTAAAAGTAAATGTCACATTGAAAAATTTTCTATTCGCTATTCTCCGTTACATATAAAGTATTAAGACTCAATTTATCTATGATTTAAAATATTAACTTTAAATAAAGAATAAACAATGATCTATAAGGCCAAGAGCTATTTTTGTTTTATTTTTTTAGATATGAGATTGTTGCAAAAATCAAGAAAATATGTACTTTATAAAATATAACATATTTAAAATTAGATGTAGTCTTTACAAATAAAATACCTATGTTACCTGATTCATAAAGTACTATAAAATAGCATTTTATATACATTTTAATTTTATTAAAGTATTTAAACTTTAGTATAGTAAATCTATATAAAAACCAATAATGAATATTTTGCTAATAATCATAATTTTAATTACTTCATTTTACACTTCTTTGTGTTACACAAATGAAGAAATGGTTAAGAAGTTGAATAAAATTTTTACTCATAAAAATTGGATTGAGTTGACCAAAGATTTGGAAATTTATAATTATAAAGAAACTAACAATGTCTATGAGAAACTTGATAAAATTAACATTAGTGATCATATTCGACCCAATGAAAATACAGTAACTATTGAAAATTTAACTGAAAAAATGAAGATTGGTTGAATAATATTGAGTTCAATTTACTACGCAATTGTTATAGATTTCAATTTGTTAATTTTGTATAAATTTGTATAAATACAAAAGAAAATTTAAAACATCAAGATTTAAAATATGAACTCTCTCTTTATTAAATATTTATGACGAAAAATTTAAAAACTTCAGTGAAGTTATTATGCCCATTAATAATACAATATATAAACCATTGAACCTTGCCCCCAGTTATTCAAAACGCGATATTCCATACGGTATAGATACATTTTGCACAAATTTGGGCTTCAAAATGGGATTTATGAAACAAACTAAAATTTTACTCCAGAAAAGTATGCACTTTTAATAATTTGTGTCAAACTGTTTAAATTACCTCTAGACTTTATTAACTCAGAATACTAGATTATTTTAAAGTAGGTGATTAACTAACATTTATAAACATTCAAATTTCATAATTAAATAATGTTAAAAAAATTTAATAATTTAATTAAAAAAGTCATAGTGTAACAATTTCTATTTTAGTGTCAAATTATTTTTGTGAAAGTAATGTATTTTAATATATTGTATTTGTATAATTATTAGTATATTATTAGTATAATGTATTTTTAAATTGTGATTTTAAAATTAAATTTATCATAAGCGTGATTTAAAATTTGCACTTATTTAAATAACCTTATTATATAAGAGTGTTTCAAGTAATCTAATGTGGGTAATTATATTGGTTTTATAGGGTGACTGACTATTTATATATATATCATACTACACTTTGGATAGTTAATACAATAATTTAAGTTTAGTGTTAAATAATATGATTTTCTTGCATAAAAGCTGCGACTGATTTGCATCTGTAAATATTTAAAATATTCTATTTTATTCAAAACTTGTTGCGCCATTTCTGTAAACTGTGCATTGAAAACGACAATAATAGATGTTAGTTTAGCTTTAACAATACTACATATTGATAGTTTAAAAAAAAAATATTTTTATGAAAGATCGACACGAATTATTATAGTAAAACTAATACATCACACATGATTTATTTATTAAAAAAAAATTGTTGTGTGTTTATTGCCACTTGGATTGATTAGGCTCAACAATACGTCAGTACATCACAAGTTGTATTGTATAAATTATATATATATATAATGTTAAAAAAAAAATGATCTCGTTCCCAGTAAATTAATTATATCCAAACATTTATTATTTAAGAGATGGTGAAACTTTGTTTTTCTTTTAACTTTTTATTTAAAATTAATATGTAAAATTTCATTGAAAATAAAAAAATCATAGCAAACATTTATTGAGAGAACTTACATATGTCCATTTTAATTAATTTCAATTAATCAATTAGGCAACTGGTGAAAAACATGTTTTGACTAGTATTAATACAACCGGTCGGACGTGAAGAGGAAGCGTCGCCATCACTACCCAGTTGTAAAACCGGAGTGCAATGTGACACGAGTCCGATCCATAGGGACAGCTGATCTACTTGTAGGTTCTCCAGCTCGGTGAAATCCAGCTTAATGATTTTAGAAATCTCTACCGTGTTCGCTGCATGTAGGCGCAAAATGTCAGGTATGTCCGGTCGCCTTACCAGACTACGACGACGGTCTCTTGACGTCTCCAAGTCGTTCCAAATCCCGTTCTGCCCTATCTTTGTTCTGACACTAACTTCTGGCGAGGTACCGGACTGGGCCAGTTGCCGGTGCTTGTACCAGTGGTGACACCTACTCCGGCGAGCGGTTTGCACACGGACAAAAGTGATCGTTCCCGTCACCTAAAATTTGGCCGCTTTGTGTCTGCGAGTAACTAGGGTGTGTCAGCGAGCTTGTATGTCATGTACGATCCTCTCTCGGCCTTCTTATTTGATTACCCTGACCGTAGCTACATACGAATCTCCCATAGTTACACTTAAACTCGTTTAAAGCATATATATTTTTTTATAACTACTAAATAAATAGTTAAAATTTTATTTTATTTTTTTCACATTCTAAAATATATATCTTTTAGACAATTTCTTACAAAAAATTTTGATGAAACGACAGTGAAGTATTCATACACCAGTACGAGCTGAACGCACCCTCATTACATACCCACCTACTGAATGTGTTAAAATTATTGTTACTCAATGAGTAATTTTTTAAAATCGTTATGAACCAATATACTTTTTTTATCAGAAAAATAACATCGTTATTAACCCTCAAACTTTTTTAGTTAGAACAGGACTAACAAAAAATATTTTAAATTTTTGAAAAAAAATTATCCCCTGAATTACGTAGTTGCCAAAACTACTAAAACCAAATGTTTTGCTCAAATGACCACATTTGTTATTAATAAATTTTGTTTTAGACAATAATTTTTTCGATATTTAACTTTATGAACTTATAATAATTTGAAATTTATTCGAAATACTATAATATCAAAAAAAATTGGTCTACTTTCTATGAGTAATTACAATATTATGAAAGTTGTATGAATATAACTATATGCTTTAAAGGGTTAATAAAATAAATTTCGTTATAAACTTTTCATAAAATTTAGTGTCTATTCTAATAGAAAACAATAATGATTTACATAAAATTAATTCTAATAAAATAATTTTATATTTGTCTATTTGAGTTTCTATACCATAAAATAAAATTTAATATTTTGCTGCGTAGTTGTATCGTATTCATTGGTGTAAAATCTTCTCATTAAGAAAGGGTTTTGAGAGGTAAATTATATAAAATAAATTAAAAATTATATCTATGAACATATTCGACAAAGAAAAGTCTTTTTTATCATATACGCTTCTTCGAACCTTCGCTTTCGAAGCTTATGATAAACACATTTCTTGTAAATATGCTCTTATAGATAGCAATTTTTAAGTTCAGGTCCCTTAAAATATAAAATATAAAATATTTAATATTTTAATTGTCTCCCTGTAATTTTATGATATTTCTGTATTGTTATTGGAAATTGGCCCCCTTCAATTGTTTTGGCTAAATTAATCTATCCTCCTAAAATTTTTTTTTTTCATAATAAAGAACATTTCATTAACTTTAATGTAATATATATATATAAGTGTCAGACTATCCGGAACATTTTCAAAAGTCAAGTTGGAAAAATTAATTTTTTGTGAAAAAGTTGTCATTTTCAATCCCCCCCTGTGGACAGGTATAGTGTCAAATATAAAAAAAAAATACACCAAATGATAGGTAAAGACATGCATCTATAAAAAAAAAAATTATATTGATTTGGTTATTTTTAAAAAAGTTATAACTATTTTAATTAAAAACATTTTTAAAAATTTCGAAAATTAGCGTTTTTTAAATTTGTAATTTTTTTGGAGGTTTCCCCCATTTACGGGGAACGAAGGATTTTTTTTCAATTTTTGAGGGTAATGTCTTCGACTAGATACGATTTGTAATCTTTTGACGTATCATTGAAAGAATTCGGTTCGGTGAGAGCTGAGAAAAAGTGGTAACAGGCACAAAAAAAAAACACATCTTAGTAAAACTTCTCAGCTTCGCATCGAAGCTAAAATAGACTAATGTTTATTATAATTTTATACTTAGAAAACATTACAAAAGCAAGTGATAGTTTTGCAAAGCTATGCTAAATTATTAAATAATAAATTGAGCGAAAAAGAAAAAACAATGGTTTTCTGTAAACTTAAATTTCAAAAAAAATATCTCTTATTTACAATCTGCTACCACTCGCTCGTGGTAAAGACAAGCTATTAAGACATTTTATCCTTGAGCTTGAAGATGGCCTTCTTAAAAGTAAAATGAAAAAACTATGTGGTAAACGTTATATGTCTAAGTTTAAGTAAGATTGAATATTATTCAGCTAAATATGGTTTTACTTATTTTAGCTTCGATGCGAAGCTGAGAAGGTATTGGTTTTACTATGATGTGTTTTTTTTTTTTTTTTTTTTTTTTTTT